CTTTACCTTTTTCTGTCCTTGGTTTCTCAGCAACTTGATCATCCTTTAAGGCTGCCTCCCCCTCAGGTTGATCATTGTCCTCAATGATCACTTTGTTGTTCTCAATACCAGGTAATTCCTTGCCACTCCTCAGTGTAATTGCTTTGGCATATTCCTTGGGGTTGGGTTCTGATTTTCCAGGTAGGTGACCTTGGTTCCTTGAGCTTGATGCCTGGTTTTGCTTCAGTTCCTTGATTTCCTGCTGCATAGTCTGTTGACCCTGAAGTAGTTGTTGCAGAATACCAACCATATCTGTACCCATCTGTGGCTGCTGTTGGACCATTGGTGGCTGAAACTGTTGTTGAACCGGCGCCTGCTGTTGGAACTGTGGTGGACCAAACCCTGGTGGTGCCTTTGGATGCTGTGAAGTGTAACCAGTGCCCTGAAATGGTTGCTGTTGCTGACCAAAACTCTGATTCTGACCAAATTGATTCTTGGGTTGGAATGACCCTTGAAAGTTGTTCTTGGGAACAAAGTTCTTTGGAGCTTGAGAATTGGGATAGACCTGGTCTTGTGGGTTAGCTACAAAACATGCAAAACTCTCTTGGACCTAATGCAATCTCCTAAGTCCTAAAACAATGCTTAAACACCTAAAATGCATGCAAATCCTCTTGGGTAAGACCTTCTTCACTTATGTTCTCAAAAATTTGAGAAGGTTCCTCATACTCTCCAACAAAATGCATTGGCTTCTGAGTGGTGAATTTCAGCTTGTCCAATTCACTCCTCAACTCCTTAACTTCTCTGGTGAGCCTCTGTTCTGAGCTTGAACCTTCAGACCTATTTGATCTGTCATAGTCTTCACCATAAGTGTCATTGCTCAATGCTAAGTTCTCTACTAGCTCTAAAGCAGCATGTATCTCTTTACCCAGAAAGTTCCCATTGGAAGCAGTATCCAGCTGGTTTCTAATCTTGGGAAGAGCTCCCCTATACAGTGTGCTGAGAAGAGAAGCCTCACTAAACCCATGGTGTGGGCATTGGTTTGTGTAGCTCCTGAATCTCTCATATGCTTCACCAAAACTTTCATTGCTGTGCTGAGTGAAGCTAGAGATTTGGTTCCTCAGTTTTGCAGTTCTTGAGGTGGAGAAGAACTTAGATAAGAAGGCTTGCTTGCATTGCTCCCAGGTTTGAATGGAGCCTCTTGGAAGATTCTTCTCCCATTGATGAGCTTTATCACCAAGACTGAATGGGAATAGTCTTAGCTTGAAGCTGTCTTCTGAAACTCCATTTATCTTGGTCAGATCACACACCTTATCAAACTGGTCCAAGTGTTCCAAGGGATCTTCCATTGCTAACCCATGGAACTTTGAGTTCTGGACCATATTCAGCAATGATGCTTTCACTTCAAAGTTGTTGTTTTGCACAGGTGGTGCCTGAATACCAGCTCCATACTGATGAGCATTGGCCCTGTCATTCTCTCCAACATAGACTTGGGGTTGCTCATATCTTCTTTGTTGTGGTTGGAAAGGGTGGGGTTGGTGGTGCACCTGGTGTCTTTGCTGATTTGGCCTGATGCCTCTGTTGATGAGCTTGAGCTTGTCCCTGGTGGACATAAGCTTGTTGATGGTGCACCTGTTCCTGCTGAACATTACCCTGGTGAAGCCCTTGACCAACTCCAATACCAGCTCCATGACCTTGAGCCTGTTGCTCCTGAACTGGTTGTTCTATATCTACTACGTGACACTAAGCTATATGATCAAGTTCTTAATTCAAGCAAACAAGAGTGGGTCTTGATTAATCTAGAGACAACTATAAACATAAACAGGATTAAAGACTAATGACAATGACAAATGGTGTGAATAAGATATGATGGAGGTATGAGATTCTAGACATGATAGATGGTTAGGGTGCTTTGGTGTTAAACTAGGAATGCTAATGACAATGATGAGACATGATTCAAGTGATTAAGAACTCTAATCTATGTTAATCCTCTCATGAAGGTATTAACCCCTATACTAATCCATTTTCAAACCAAATTCCCATTTGTGAAATATGAATCAATATGCATTAATAAACAGTTCTCAATGATCATTCAAGCATTTAACAAATCATTCCCATGATGAAAAATTACTTAAACCTCTAACACAACTCTTTCAGGAATTTCATCAAATACTTTTGGTGCATGAAATTCCCAGAATCTAGATCTCAAGTGATTATCAAGGATCTAGCATAGAGAATAGTTGTTTAGAGAAATGAACTAATGAATCTAGCCCTAAACACTCCTAATCTAACACTTTAGCACCCTAACCTACACATCTAGAACATCATTAAGGTAACTACTCACTAATCATGATCAACACACTAGATCCTTTGCAAGATGTGGTGTTAATCATGATTAGAAGTTGATTTTGATGAATAGAAATGATGAACAAGATGTAAAGAAACTGCAAATCGATTTAAACTCTCTAAAACAAAGTGTATTAAGTGGTTTTTCACAAAAGGGGGAAAAAAAACTAAAAGTAGATTCAGTCCTCCCTACAAATTAGGTCTAAAAACCTTATAAAAGAAGCTTGGGCGAACCGGGTCAACCCGGAACAAACCGGGTACTGACCCGGCCTTGATGGGCAAAGAAGGGTTTGCCACGGTCTGGTGCATCCTTGGTGTGACCGTGGCATTCCTGACCGTGTCAAAGTCTTTACTTGTGTTCTTGGTTCCTTTTGATGCCACGGTCTGATCAAGCTTCATCTGGGACTCGTGGCAAGTTAACCGTGTCAAACGCTGAAGATGTGTAAAGGTTGCCACGGTCAAGCCCCCAGACCGTGGCATTCAGACCGTGCCAAAACCCGCATGTATGTGAAGTCCTTCCCAGCCAAGTATATGCTTGCCACGGCCAAGTCTCAGGCCATGGCATTGAGATCGTGTCAAAAGTCGAAACTGTGTAGAAGTTATCTCCAGCCACTTGTTTATTTGCCACGGTCAAGTCCCAGACCGTGGCATTAAGCTCGTGCTAATCGCCGAAGGTTGCAAGATGTTGCCACGGCCAAGCCTCACACCGTGGCATTTAGGCCGTGTCAATCGCCGAACGGTTGCTAAGTTCCTCTCAGCCAAGTGTGTGTTTGCCACGGTCAAGCCTCACACCGTGGCATTTATATCGTGTCATTGGCCGAGGGTGCACAAAAGTTGCCACGGCCAAGTGTGGACCGTGGCATTGAAATCGCGGCATGTCTAACTTAGTCATCCTGGGCTGTCTGGACCATCTCACATTCCGGAGAGTGTAACTTCCTGGAGACCTGTCCGAATTGAGTAATTCCGGTTGCAGAAGACAGAGGACTCATTTTCTCTCCAACTTTGATGAAGGAAGTTTCAGTGCTTGGGAAGTGTAAGGTTTCCTGGAGGGCACATCTTTGAAGCGCATTTACACGACCAGAGGGAGGCGCCTAGACATGTGTCCATTCCGGAGACCGTATCTTTCTGCTCAAAGCTCCGAATTGACTGATCTCGGATGTTCTGGAAAGAAGACTCAAATGTCTCTGATTCTCATGAAGGCCCCGGAAACTGAATCGGCCTGGAAGTGCACCGTCCTTCGCATCCTTCAAGACTGATCTGCTCGGTCCGGAATACCTGCGAGACAGGGGTTCCTTCCGACTAGCTTATCTCTCTGCTCACGCGTCCGAATTCCACGATTCCACTTGCTATGAGACCGTGCTCCAATGCTCTCCAACTTCTATGAAGGACCCGCCGTCTGAATCGGACCGGAAGGCTCCCCGGACAGGCGATTTCTGAGACTCGTTCAAACCCGGAGATTTTGGCCGATACACTTCGTTCGCGTTACATGGAAATGGCCGGTAAAGCTTCCCGCGGTACATGAAAATGGCCGGTGAAACCTTCCTGGCCAGCGAGAATGGCCGAAAATCTCCCAAGACCTAATTTTTCCACTTTTTCACTCTTTGCTCACCATTCCACCTCCTGGATTCATCTTTTCAGCTCCATATTCACCTGATAGACACTCAAAACATGCAAAGACTCATTGGGACCTAATGCATCTCCTAAGTTCTAAAACAAACCCTAAGGACCTAAAATGCATGAAATAAAACATGATTTGGAATGATTTATGCAACCTAAATGATGCAAATTATGAACATATCATGTCTCTTTTGTATTGAGAAAAAAAATTTTCTGGCATGTTTTGACATGTTTCAGGGGCTAGTATTAAAGAAATTTCTAAAATTGTGTGTTTAAAAAGACAAAGAAAGAAAAAGAGTCAAAATCAGTTCAAAGTCTTTCCTTCAACAACACAAACAAGAGTAGAAGAGAGACAAGACATCATATTCATAGTCTTACAAAAAAACAAATAAAAGTAACCAACAAAAGTACAAGAGAGCAAGACACAAAGAGAGCCAACCGCTTGTCTTACAACAACACAAACCAACTGGTTACCAAGTACGTACTATCATTTGTTGCCGAATACAAGTGGGTTTCTGAGTAAGTATTCTGCTGTTTTTTGGTGTTCTTCATGAGATTGTTGTCGATTTTGGTGTTCGAAGTTAGGGGAAGAAGGTTTGGTGTTCCAATTTGGGGGAAATGGGTTTGGTGTTCAAAGAATGTGAAGATTATATCTTCCGAAAGAAGCTTAATTAATATTACCGATTTCTGTTTAGGCATTAACTGCTGACCTTTTTAATCCTTAATTGTGAAAGTCAACTTTAACTTGAGAATTTTTTTTAAGCAAGCCCAACTTGAGGAATTAAACGTGCAATTTGAAAAATTTGAGGAATAAAATGAGCATTTTCCCCATGTTTATGTGTACTTACCTGGCGATATTCCGCGGCTCTTGATGTAATTTCTGGTTCGTGATTTATGTTCACCTTTTATTCGTTCTTCGCTTAAAAACCTGAAATAACAGATGACAAAAAACAAAGCAGCGAAAATAGAAAATGCAAATCAAAAGGAATAAGTAAAATACCAAGTGGGTTGCCTCCCACTAAACGCTTGCTTAAAGTCATTAGCTTGACTTTGATGATACTTTAGCCTAGTGGATCTGCCAAGAGCATTTCTTCTATTCCTTCTTCTTCTGCGAGGCATGGTTTGACACGCTGTCCTTTAGCGACAAATGTATCTCCCTTCTTACCCCAAAGAATGAGTGCTCCATATGGTTTGACTTTCTTTACTGTGAAAGGTCTAGACCATCTTGATCGTAGCTTTCCTGGAGAAAGCTTAAGGCAAGAATTGAAAAGACTAACTCTGTCATTTGGAGCAAAGGACCGATGTCTGATCCTTTTGTAGTGAAACACCTTTTTCTTCTCCTTGTATATCTTGGAATTGTTGTAGGTGTTATGGCGGATTTCTTCTAACTCGTGCATTTGAAACATTCTTCTTTCTCCAGCTGCTTTAAAGTTCATGTTCATTTCCTTAATAGTCCATTGTGTTTTGTACTAGAGCTCTACAGGAATATGACATGCTTTCCCGTATACAAGATTGAACGGCGTGGTCCCTAAAGGAGTTTTGTATGCTCTCTGATAGGCCCAAAGTGCATTGTCGAGTTTTTCAGACCAATCCTTATGATTGACGCCAGTTGTCTTTTGCAGAATAGACTTTATCTCTCTGTTACAGATTTCCACTTGTCCACTTATCTGAGGGTGATATGGAGATGAAACTTTATGCGTGACCCCGTTCTTCTTGAGCAGATTTTCGAAAACTCTATTGATGAAATGGGATCCCCCATCGCATATCACAATTCGAGGAATTCCAAAGCGAGGGAAAATGATTGATTTAAACAGCTTTATAACCACTTTTGCATCATTAGTAGGGCTGGCGATTGCTTCTACCCATTTAGAGACATATTCTACCGCTACTAAGATGTATTGGTTTCCAAAAGAAGTTAGGAAAGATTTCAACTTCGAGAATGTAGTTTTGAGGCATCTCATTCTTCTTACTGATATTGCCCATTCGTTGGCATGAATCGCAGCGCAAGATGTAGGCGTACGTGTCTTTAAACATAGTAGGCCACCAAAATATTGCTTGAAGGACTTTGGAAACTGTTTTGTAAGTTGTGAAATGTCCTGCATATGCTGAACTATGGCATCCAAACAATATTCCTTCCATTTCTTCTTCGGCGACACAGCTTATGAATAAACCATCTACACATCTCCTATAGAGAAAAATTTCATCCCAGAAATAGTGTCGAACTTCCCTTAAGAATTTCATCTTTTTATAGCCAAAGAAAGGTGGAGGTTCGATGTCTTCAGCTAAGTAATTCGCTATATGCCTAAACCATGGGGTGTCAAAAGCATCTGACCGTCGTGTAGGAGGTTGGGATGGCTGTTGGGGTCGGTTAACTGTTGGGGTCGGTTTTCACCCCACGCAGATAAAACCATCTCAAAATGACTAAGTATGGAAGAAAGACAAGCGGGAGAGCCGTTCTCACTAAGACAAGTGGGAGAGCCGTTCTCGCCAAGTGGGAGAGCCGTTCTCACCAAGTGGGAGAGCCGTGAAGATAGACCAGTAGGGAGAGCCGTGAGGAAAGAGAGATGGGCCGAGCCGTATCGCAAGAAATGGGCCGAGCCCCTCTCCAACACGCCTGGGCCGAGCCGCGCCTCGGTGAGGTGGACCAGATCACGTCTCGACTCAAATGGCAAGTGTGCCGGGCCGTGGAGAAGTTTAGATGGGCCGAGCCGTGGAGAAGTTTAGATGGGCCGAGCCGTGGAGAAGTTCAGATGGGCCGAACCAAGGCCTTGAGAGACGAAGCCCATAAAAACCCTAGGCGAAATACAAAGGCGGTGCGCCGCACGAGGCGATAAGGAAATATTCCGAAAATCTCTCCCGAGATTCTCGGCTAGGCGGTTCAGAGAATTAGTATAAATAGATGATGTACACAATTCATTTTGTAACTTTTTGCAACCTTAAGCAATAAGAGCTAAATACTTTTACAGCAAGAAAAACTTTCTTTCGATCTTTTTGTTCTTTCTGTAATAGGTATAGTATCTATATCATAGAAATTATCTTCTGGCAAACTATCATTCAAAGGAAGTTTCTCTTCCACTCGAATTCTAGAAAGATGATCTGCTACTCCATAGTCAGCTCCTTTCCGATCTCGAATTTTATATCAAACTCTTGCAGAAGGATTATCCTTCTGATCAGCGTTGGTTTGGCATTTTTCTTAGACATGAGATACTTGATTGCAGCATGTTCAGTATGAACAATGACCTTACACGCCATGAGATAAGATCGAAACTTTTCAAATGCAAAAACGACAGCTAAAAACTCCTTCTCCGTAGTCACATAATTGTATTGAGCTTCATCTAGGGGTTCTACTCGCATAGTAGATTGCATGCAGTTTCTTTTATTTCCGCTGACCAAGAACAGATCCGACAGCAAAATCACTTGCATCACACATGATTTCGAATGGTTGTTCCTAATCGGGCGGCTGCACAACTGGAGCAGAAACAAGAGCGTCTTTGATCTTATGAAACGCTGCCAAGGACTCTTCATCGAAATCGAAGTTCGTTTCCTTGCAGAGCAGACGTGTAAGAGGTCTAGCAATCTCAGAGAAGCCTGTTATGAATCGCCTATAAAATCCGGCATGTCCCAAGAAACTTCGGATTCCCTTCACATTAGTTAGAGGTTGTAGGCTAATCATGACTTCAAGTTTTGCTTTATCAACTTCAATACCTTTCCCAGATATTTTATGTCCAAGCACAATTCCTTCGCGGACCATGAAGTGACATTTTTTCCGGTTCAGGAAAAGATGCTTGTCTTCACAACGCTGCAAAACTATCCCTAAGTTTTCCAAGCATTTGTCGAAAGAGGATTCATATACAGAGAAATCATCCATGAAGACTTCCATGAAATCTTCGATGAAGTCAGTGAAAATATATATCATGCACCGCTGAAAGGTTGCAGGTGCATTACACAATCCGAAAGGCATTCGCTGGTAGGAAAAAGTTCCGTATGGACAGGTGAATGTCATATTTTCTTGATTTTCTGGTCTAATAGGAATTTGGAAAAATTCGGAATAACCGTCTAGAAAGCAGTAGTATTCCTGATGCTAATCTTTCTAGCATTTGATTAATAAAAAGCAAAGGAAAATGATCATTCCGAGTTGCTGCATTCAGTTTTCGATGCTCGATGCACATTCGATGTCTCGTTACTGTTCATGTAGCGATCTTTCATCCTTGTCATTTTTAACAACAGTTACTTCTCCCTTTTTTGTGACAACATGTACATGACTAACCCAAGTGCTGTCCGAGATAGGTGATAACACCGTATTTTGACCACTTTTATGGATCATAATTGTATCTTATGCAGGTGTTTTAACTCTGTTTTCAAAGTTTTTATAGTGTTTTCAATTTTTTAGAGTTTCAAAAGACTTTACAGGAAACTTGGGCAAAAGATATGCAATTTGGAACAAATGAGCAATTTCGGATAAATGCAGACCGTCAGAAGTATGACACGCGATGAAGACCTTCTCACCGTCCGATCACCCCCAAAATATGAGACAGCATAGAGGATCTAACCAGCTTTCTAATGCACTTGGTTTGGAGACAATCCAACGGTTAGATCTTCAGATACTCCCGATGCAAGAATGACAGAAAATGCAGTTCCTGAAGAGAGCAAGTGCCGGGACCGCGGCAAACACCCATTTTCCCGCGGGTAGAGCCACCGCGACCGCGGGCTTTGGTCGTTCACTTTCCCGACGACTTAATTAAAGCCCAGATCAATTCCTCTCGTTATTTTTGAAGCCCTAAGTGTCCAAAACCACCCTAGAAGCTATAAATACCCCCTTTAGGTCATTCTAAAGAGGGGAGACCGAAACTTAGACAACTTAGAGAGAGAGAGAGAGGGATTTCGGCTGGAACCCTAGAGGAGGCCGCCGCATCAGAAGAAGGAGCCGCCGCCGAGGAGAGTGATGGTGGTGACTTGTTGTGGGTGTCAAGTTTTACCCTAATTAAAATCAATAGCCGCAAGTGCACAGCTGATCAATTGTAGTACTTAGGGATCGAATCCACAGGGAAGAGGATCTTTTGCTGCAAAAAACCTTTGAAATAAGTATAAAGTAAGGAAGTCTAGAACAAAAACGGTTTTGTGGGGGTTTGGTAGTGTGTTTAAAATGTAAAGACGAAATCTTAAAAGAAAATACGAGAATTAAATGGCGTAATAACTAAACTTAACGAAAATAACTAAAAATGATAAAAATGGATATTCTAATGCTTAAATGAAAATGAACTAAAAAGGAAAGACAATATTGAACTAAAGCTTTAAAGAAAATCGGTGTAAATCAATGGAGAAGAAAGCGTTGGGGTTCAGGGAAGTTTTCTCAGGGCTACGAACGATTCAAAACATTGCTAGAGAGGAAATTTTGTAAGATCTTAGCTTAAACTTTTCGAACTGGAGTCACGGACGTATGAATACGCCACTGTCGTGATCATAGACAACTATCGTTCTCAACCCTGACCAGTAGGTTTCCACTCTGGCCCTGGAAGAGAAGAGATGCATTATGTTTAAGACTCGTCCTAATTCACAAATCGCCCATAGGTAGGTTTCCACTCCTATGTTTGTTTTGCTCTCCCAAACTAGATCTGATACCTGATGAACACTTTCGTGTCACCAAGCATCTGGATCAGATTGTAGTTCATGACGCTACTCTCATGCAGTAAAAACGAATTCAGAAGAAAAAGTTCTAAGATTCAGCTCAAAAGCCAATGGAATCCTCACCGAACATATAAATCCCCATCAAAAATCCCTTAATCCCAACAATAAAACTACTCAGACATAATAAACGAAATCAAAGACATAGTATTAAGAAGTAGAATAGAAACCGAAATTGAAAAAGAAAGAACAAGGGTTCAAGAGAACAAATCTCTCTCTCCCTAAAAGCTAAAGCAAAAACAATGAAAGTATGAAGTAAATAATTTGGTTCTCTAAGGTTACACGATTTCTAGGGCTCCTAAGACATGTATTTATAGTGCTCAAGACCTCTCTGGACGTCACTTAGGGTTTCTCCAAATGTGGGCTTCAGAAATGGGCTTTTTGGGCTCAGAGGTTGATGGCCGCGGTCGGGAGTGCTCTGACCGCAGGGAATGGGTGGTTTGCCGCGGTCGGGATGCTCCTGACCGCGGGAAATTGCTTGTTGGCCGCGGGTGGAAGTGCTTGCCAGCTGGTTTACGGGACATCTTGCTCTTCGCGTATCTTTTGATTGAACCGTTGGATAGCCAATCTGTAAAGTGCACTGGAAAGCTGATACTTCCATCTTTAAGGTCTCAAGATTTGAGCTGGATCAGACGGTGAGAAGGCCTTCAATCAGGGGTGAACTTCTGACGGTTTGACTCTGAGCTGAAATCTGGTTTTCTATCCATTTTGTTAAGCTTTTCCCTAAGTTACCTGAAAATAGTCTTGGAACTACAAATTC